AATTCTCACTAAAATGGATACAACACAAAGACAATCAATTGACTAAAATTTACGAAAACTAGCTAAAACAGGAGGCTTCTCAGATATTTATGGACACGACTACAGCGGTTACCTCAGAAAATTACAGAGTATATATATTTTAACGGTGAAAAACACCGTCCACTAGATTTTTTGCCAACTATTGTTTTTTGCTGTGTCAATATCAAAAACGAAATCCTAGCTTTTCTAGGATGGACCTACTATATATATATATATATAAAAAATTGGCTAACTTACCTGCAATGTTCAGTTTTTTTGGTATTCTATTTTCACTCATAAAAGGAAACTATAATACATGCACAATACATACACAAGTCAAAAGACAAGCAAGCGTAGCAAGCACTCTATTTGCAGGAGTTCTTAGAATATTTTCCGACACAATTTTTAAAAAATCCTCCTTGACGCACAGATTAGCGAATGTAAAAAAAAGGTGTCTACAAAACCAAACACATATGACACTCCACAAGACAATACAATTTCAACACCTACAGCACCACCATATGGACACAGCCTACATAATAATCATCCTCTATTATTAGTTCCACAAAATTATATGACACACTCGTAACTACTGAACAAACCTCTCAAGGTAGTAATTTCCCACGAGGTCCAATATTTCATATAACACTTTATCAACCAAAAATTGACGACACCTGTGAAAAATTGTTGATCAACCACATACAAAAAATGTTTGTTCTCAAAACAATCAACTTTTTAGTCCACGATGAGCCGACAGATTGAATACCCCAAACGTTCCCTTTCCTATCCATCAAACCTCCAACGCCATTCCTCTCGAACTTCACTCTCAGACCTCACCTCTTCTCCTTTACTCAGTTTTTCTTCTAACCACGCACAGACTCAGAAGATTCAATCCAAACAGTTTTTAACAGCATATCATACTTTAATAATTCTGATGTAGAAACGTCTGACAATTTCCTTGACTCAGAACCTAGCCTTAAAAACTTTTCTCAACCACCTTTCCAACCCTTTGTTTCCGAGCATCCCACTTCAATCTCTCCCTCCCCCTCTTCATACACTGTAGCTACCCCTAACCTTTACCCAATGTCAAGTAACCAACCCGACGCATCTAGCCCCATGACCGACAATCATCTTGAGCTTGAACTAGTAACTTTATAACTTAACAACAACACCCAAATGACACAAATAACGGATTAACAAATCACCAGCTAACCCCTTAGCCACAACATTGGATACCTCAACTGATTCTGTTAATATTGCACCGACTAGAGCTCAAAGAGTTTTTAAACTAAAGCATCTTAATACCACACCTTAATTACCGTTTAGTCGTCCACGTTCATCCCGATTATATTCCCACCACCCACAATACACTAAAACCCCAGAGCTTTTACCTCACAACCTACCATTTTCCCCCGATATACATACTATACAACATACAATGCAAACCAACTGAACCCTTTCGTTGATGAAAACGTGCTAATTACCACACTCTCCTGGATCACCTATTACAGTTTTACTAACCCATTAAAATTTCCCCTGAAAAAACAACCTCGAAAATAGTGAACTCTGTTTTACCATCATTCACCAACTCACCACTCCACTTCTCGAAAATCAATTCCCTACCATCGGCTTAAGCCAGACACTAATTAGATTCATAGCATCAAGCGCTAATCGGGTTTCTATAAACTATTTCAATCATACTTTCACTAGATACATGGAAGATACAAACACAGACATCCAAACACTAATCCTCAACAAACAGAAAAACTTTTCATTAAATCGGAATATATATTCCGTCTAGATAGCACTAATGAGATGTTTGATAATTGCTCATGCAATAACAAACACCAACGCTTCTGAGCCGTTTTTTGAATAAATTCAACCAGTGCTCTCGCACCAACATTTTACTTCTTTACACCAAAAGTAAGAGATATTCACTGCTCACATGAAATAATGCTTAAAACAAAACTAACCCACACGTAGGTACTCTTTTTATAGATTCATTCAAAAACACTTTATAACCAACTCACCATCCCGTAACTCACTTAATCATTTTATGTTCATAAATTAAAAGTGCACATTACCATATTTCTTGAATTTCCCATATTGCATCAAACCAACTAACTTACCCGGCATCCTCCGTAATTCTGATCCCGTCCGACAGATGTATACATTTTGCCCACTGACTAACACCTTTCCAATCGACCGTACCATCAAAACACCCACGAATATATACAGCCCATTGAAATAACCCTGCTCGAACACATTCACAGTACTAAATTTAATCATAAACTTAAGAAACTAATTCAAAACACGAATCATTAGTTTTCAACAATTATCGAAGAAGTGGACATCATCAGAGCGCTTGGAGTTCTTTGGCCTCTGCTTCGCACTAAAATCGTAATCAAACCTATCTTCCACCATGGATTTTCCCCCAAAACCGAACCCTCGTAAGAACGAATTATACTGTTGTTACTAATAGAAATGAAACAAAAAACTCACCCTTATTACACTTGTTTTTCATTTTCCTTTTTTAAATTTCACCAATCACTTATCTAAAAGAATAAAACTAAAATAAGAAACAAACAATTTATTTAAATTTTAAACGTTTTAATCCAACAGTGAAACTGAATTATTCAAGTGAAATAAGTTTAAAACAAATTGCAATAAAATAATAATTCTTTAGAAAAAAAACGAAGTAGTAAACCAATATAAAGCAAATGAATACAAGAAACTCACTATTTTATTTGAGCTTCTTTTTTAACTGAATACTTTCATTTAGTCGCCCACATTTCACCAAACTCGCCAAACTCGATTTCAACAGTAACTGATAACAACTCTAACTTGGCTTCACACGATTCAAACTTTCCTTCAACACAGTTAGAAGGAACTATAAGTACTTTAAAGCTAACCAACGCAGCTTACTAACACCCAAAAACGAACCGAATGTATAAAAAAATCCCAAGGTACGCAGATTAAAAATAGAAAACTATTCTTTTTAAACGAATTTCAAGTTTTATTGAAACCACTTAAAACACCAAAATGTAAAAATGAAAACCCAAAATAAAACAATCTGTTTTTGATAAAAGGACACAGCCAAAAACAAAAAAGAGAAAACACCTGACAAAAAGAGCAAAAAGTTGAACATGAAAAGAGATTCTGCTCAGAGGGACGGAAAATATATTCCCCCCTTCAAATGGCCTCACTACCCATAAGAATGTCCTGAGCATGCTCTATAGCCGGCCTAACCCACCGCGCTTTAGCCACGCTTACGACACGCACTCAATTTTTGACGAGAGTTGCTCTAGTTTGAGCGACTCTTTAAAATTACCGAAACTAAACAAAAACGCTGATGCGAAAACAACTAATGAATATCATAACTAAAACTAATCTCACTAACAAGATATAGGTTTAAAATGCAATGTAAAAAGAATTCTTAGAGCAACCGGATCGATCAGCAATACGAGATAAAAACTCGACAACAATCCGACTGTGAAATGGCAAATCTGTTGGTTTCTTGCCGTAGTCACAACCCTCACAGGACTTGAAGTGTGGACCCAACATCGAAGCAAAGCAACACATTGAAGAAGATCAATGGCCAACTCGATGTTGACTTCACATACCGATCCAAGTCACTTGGCAGTTCACACTGAGAAGTCAAACTTCATCTTTCACGTAGCCTCTCTCTAGCTTAACGAAATCAACACATCACTGCATCATTCTCAATTCTTGACTGCTTGACACAATCATTCAAGACGATATAGGCTAAACGAGACCCACTTCTTGAACACGAACAAGACTCCCCCTACTCTCTATGAAGACATCTACTCCAAAACAACTTTCTCTCCCTCTTCTCTCACGCAGTCACTGGTTCAAAAAGAAATTGGTCAGAGTAACAAGAAATCTCTCCATCCGTTCTTTACTGCAATAGGCTTTAAAATTTAAAACTCTCTAAGCCCTGGATGGGTGGAATCAGTTTAAAACTAGTATTTATATGCAATTATATTATTGATAAAACTATCTCTTTAAAACGTTTCTAACTTACCAATCATGATCCATAACTAACAATTACAATTATTTGTAACGCTGAAGCTATTCATAGTTTCAGCACCAGGGCAAAATAAATTTTATTAGAAAACAGTTTTCTCCTTCGAGACAGTTCCTGATATCTAACTCGCAGATACCAGTATACAATAGATCTATTGAGACTAGGAGATATAAGAGTAAGATTAGGATTGGTATTAGACTAAGAAGTTGCACGAATCTATCCGACCAAAAATAAGATAGCGTGATGAACAGATGGTATATCTTATCTGAAATTACTTTATGAGTGAGCCACTCCTGGACATAACTCAATAGGGAAAAACAAAAAAGCAATTTAACGAAGATACACTTGAAAAAAAAAAAGTTTTTTACCGTTCAAATAGACATAATAATTCAAAAACTCTTTTTCCAAAAATTTCCAAAAGTTTTTAGCGTATAGGTAAAAACGACTGTGACTCGAAAGAGATTTTATTTAACAACTGACATTTGAAATCAAATTAACTAGAAACCAATTTTATTTCATCGCTTTTTGAGTGTATCCTTTATCAACTGACTTTTGGTTTATATCATCATACTCTTTGCCATTGTAGCGTTGTTTGGAAAATTTTTCTCATCTATAATTTTCTGCCAAGCCACACGAAGTGTGGTTGAAGCATTCTAAGATACTTGCACAGCCCCAGACTCTTCTCCTTTTTATCATATCACTCACCTTGAATTTTTAAACTCGAGTTAACATATGTTCACTGAGATACGAGGAGCTAAGTCTTGCAGCTCAATATCTCACTTCTCTTTTGACCAAAAAACACCAATTCTGAAACATTTCTTTATACTAATTATTTTAACCTTTTTTGCTGAAACATTCAAGAAGATAGCTGTGGTCGCAACAAAAGATTGTTCTTGATTCCTGTATGATTTTTAAAGACGATCATTTGGATCTAAATTAGCGAAGCATTTTTTAAAATTATTAATTCAATTTTTCATTGCGTGTCTTTAATTCCATAGCTTAGCTTTACTTATTATTTTTGGTCTTCTCGTTTCTATTAGATCAGCTTCTGAGAAGTCCCAGTTTGTTTTTCAGAGTAGCCGACGGGTGCAGATGGGCAGCTGGGATCTTCTTGACCTCTAGGCGTTCGCTGGTCCACTCTGGATTTATGGTGAAGTGTCAGGAGGGGTTGAAGGGCGGGTTGGAGAACATGCTCAGATCACACTGGTATTGGTAGGGTTCCACGGGTGTGGCACTAGCAGCACGTCGCGAAGGTCTACGATGAATATAAATAGTACATTTCAGGGCTTTGCAACTATAGCTCCCACTCCCCGCCTTGTCACAAAAAATAGATCGCCCCACTACAGTAGGAATCTTTATGATAGGGCTATAATTTGCTGGTGGCTATAATTAGATAAAAGCTATTTAATTCTTGCTTTAATCATCATTAATAGCCAAAAAATGTTTTTGCGAACGGTTAAATTTAAAAATTACAGTTGTTAGGTTATTTTTGGAAAATTCAAAACCTGATAGGTTGAATAATTATGATTACCTGTTTGCAAATTCCGCAGGAGTTTGGCCTCCATTCAGTCTTTTCAGTAGGTTCTTCACTATCTCCCGCTCTAAATGAAAACTCAGATCAGAGACATTTATTATTGCTGTATATTTGAGATTGCTATGCTGAGATTGCTATGCTCTTACCGTGACTGGGAGCAGCCGTGGCCCAGCTGTTCAGACTATTCTGGAAGTCGCCATCATTGTTCCACAGCTGGTTCTGGGATCTCTGAAAAGACAGCCAGCTGAACAAGCACAATTTGTTCAACTTGAATTCATTTACCATAGCTACAGACTAAGTTACAAACTCTATAGTGTCTGGAGTGGTTACTGAAGAGCATTTCAGCTCAACGAACACCGAGCTGAGCATCCATTTTGTTTATCTTGAAAATTTTAAAGTGCTTAGAAAAAGCAAATTGTAGGAATGAATGGTTCTTTGCCTGACGGAAGTTATGCAATAACTTTTCGGAAACTATTCATAAGCTTCACTTCAAACCAAAATTTTATTGTTCCGACTTTCGATACGAAAGTAACGGAATATTTGTGCTCGGGGTGGGTTTTTTTTTCTTCAGACAAATTTCGACTTTTTAACTAGCCATTTTTGACGGATTTTTTTTAATATCATTCAAAAGGTATTGTTGTCCTGAGCTTAAATTTGAAAAGATATTTCACCTGTGATCATTTTTCGTAAAGTTATTAGGGTTTAAAGATTGCCTTTTTGGCCACTTTGACCAATTTGGGACAATTAACGCGCGATATAATTCGCGCTATTAACGCGTAAGCGGAGGTTTAATCCGTCTTATAAATCGTTCCAAATTGGTTTAACGAAGCTTATTTGTCATAATTGATATGTTACAAGGAACGAAATCTATCTTTTCGTACTTTATTTGGCGTGTGGGGGGATGATTTTCATAAAAAATTTAGAATAAAAAATTTTCATTTATTTTTATTTCATTTAATTTTTTAAATGTTATTACTGCTGCTCCATAAACCTTAAAAGGCAGTCGGAACATTCAGGGCTTCGCCCTGATAAGAGCAGTCTTGTTAATATTTTATTGACAATACCGTTGTTTAGGTATCGCTCTGTGAACAAACGTTTTAAATAATGGCTATAAGAGAAAAAATGACTTGTTTTCGTGAATAATTGGCATAATTTAACGACATCAAGCACCAACCTGGAATGAGTTGGGAGGCGCTGACTGTCTCAAAGCCATCATTCTGCTTCCTGGTCTGGATGCACTTGTATTCATCAGCCCAAGTTCTGCAAAGGGGTCTTTCTTCACCACCGCCCACACCTCCTCGCCAGACTCATTGTAGCCTATGCAATTGCAGAGATTATCGTATAATACACATTAGATCCTTTCAACATTTCCCGCTGTTACAATGCAATTTTATTATTTAACTAGTGGTCTTACAGATATACATTTCCTGGTACATCAGCCCGTATAAGCTCCAACCCCACTCTCAGAGAAAACTCAGAGATAGACACGACATTTGGAACCCCTCTTCGAAAATGAATAAAAATTTTTTCAGATGAAGACGAGCATTCCAGTTTTTTTATTTCCTAGTATAATGCGTTTTTAATTGTTTATTCTTGAATATAGTGAGCAGATTTTTGACCAAAAAGACCAAATGACCAAAAATTTATAGTTAGCCGTGTAGACGTTCAAACAAGAAAAGTCAATGATACAAATTCATAGATGAATTCTATGAAAAAAAAGCTTGAATTGGTTTACAATGCAAAAATTATCTTGAATTGGTTTAAAATTGAAATATACCTAATGCTATATTAATGGCAAAGCAAAATATTTTCATCTTGTTACTGATTTCCACACATGAAATTGGTTTCCGAAAAACTAATTAACTTAAACTTCAACAGTTTTTGACCGATTAAACTGCTCAAGGTCAACAAGATTGCCAATTATTTGGCAATAACTATAAAACATGTTTGATGCCGTCGTAGTTAGATGTCAACAACGTGGCAGTTTTCGCTTTTTTTATTGCAAATTCGCTTCTGAGCTCAAATAAATATTTTGCCTGAAAATTTGTTGTTTTGTAACTATAACGTAGTTGAAGCTAAATTTTTCACTGAATAAATCCAAAAACTAAAAGCAAAAATTGTGAGACAAATACTTTTTATTGGTTTTTATATGCTAAGATAAACCTATTACTCTAAACAAAAATAGGCCATGTTTTAACTTATGAAGTAGAAGTTTTCTAGAGCCATAAACAAAAAGTTAGGCTTTTTGTATATGATTTTGAATCAAACCCAAACCTTTACTTACATAGCCAGGATTACCAAATGCAATTTAGCTGCGTGGTAACTGCCGCTTACACACGGGGTTTTCTTATGTTAGAAGTTCCTTGATCATTGTGTTTGTGAAGGGAAATCAGAAAGCATGTAACTTTCATGTAAAGCCATGGCAAAAACTTATTTATTCCAGATCAGCAAAAAAGGCTTATATTTAATCATTGTGTCGTAAAAAATCTCATTTTACTATTTTCATACAATATTTTTTCTAAATTGTGTGAAAATGTTCGACTAACATTTTTTTAGTTGTATGAAAATGTAGAACAAAAAATTTTTGTCGACCCGGGAAATTATTTATTTTCCTGAGTTTGAGGATATTCTTAGGAGTTTGATGAAAAAAAAGTTTGCAGGAAAATTGGGCTCTCAGCTAAGTTTTTGGAATTTTCAAAACTCAAAACAAAAAGAATTGATAGGGGAAACGCTTTGAATTGTTTGACTGGATTCAATGCCTCTTGAACAGTTTTAAACAACTACAGTCTTTTAAAATATTTGCAAGAAAAAGGAACAAAATATTGAAAGTTTTTCCAATTAATTTTTTTTTTGGAAAAACTTACTTTCAGTTCTGCTCTATCATACAAAAAAAGATCAAAACTCACTCATTTATATGAGTTTCTGTGTAGACCCACATTCAATTAGCTGAAAAATCAAAATGCGAAAACATTGATTCATGCGCACAATACCGAATGTGAGAGAAGCTGGGTCGCTTCAAGCTTAGGCCACTATGCTTGCCTACTAACGCTGCCTGAATTTGATTTTTTGGTTGCGTTTTATCCTAGGAAAATTATAATAATATTTTATCGGCAAATGCAACTGGCCAAACAACGGATTTTATAATTTATGTCGATTATCGTGGTTCAGTACAGAAGTGCCAAAATAAAAAATATATCCAAGTATGCCGAGAATTTTTTTTACTATACAAGGTTGTACGAGGATAAGAAAAAACATAAAACAGTAAAAAGTGAGTCACTAGCGAAAGAAGTTATTTCTTTCTGGAATCAATACAAACAAACACTCTATTCACTTAAATTGTAGTCCAGAGTTTTCGCAAGAAAATGTGTCCCTCTATTAGTTTGAATTCCGCAGAAATCTATGAAATATCAGTTTTGGAGGAATATCCCGGGTTGACCAAAAATGCTTCTCATACAATTTTTATATTTGAAAAATGCGTATCATACAATTTCGTAAAACTCCCATGATACAGAAAAAGTTAAGAAAACTCGAATATAACTTTTGGGGAAATTTCAATATAAATTGGAAAAATTATTGATGTCGCCATCAAAAAAAGTCAAGTCGTACAATTTTTATATATGGAAAGTGTATTATAACCATTTTTTTTTCCAAAAAAAAAAGACAAATTGTTTTTTTTTCATCACCAGACTGCTTTATTTGGTTCAAATTGCCGCAAAAACTAGTTCGAATCTTTTTTCAATGATTTTTTGAAATTGTATGAAAGTTGTATGACTAGCATTTTTCCATGCATTTGATGACGGATTTGTATGATTAGCAGTTTCGATGTATGGAACTGTAAGATAAGTATTTTTGGTTTATGGAGTTCAACCCGGGATGTTGATTCCCAAAATTATTAGAACAGACTTTCAAATTAGATTGCTGTATTGTAAGGTGAAGAGCTTTTGAAAAAGGTTTGATTATGATTTCGATGCAGTTTTAATATATCCAGTTCTTATAAAGCGTAATTGGCAAAATACATTGGCGCTTTGCGTCATCTTTTCAACTGTTCAGTCTATAGACTCTAACTATCTCATGGGTTCTGACCTTTCAAAGGCTCGTCTATTCGGTATTATATACCGACATGCATTTTTGGCCTGACGACTCGGGTCGCTGATCCCAGCATATAATAACTTTGAGAGGGAAGAGCGCGCCAAAAAGTTACAATTGTTTAGTCAAAATTTTTCAAAAAATAGGTTCTAGATAGAGGAGAGTACGGAAAATCAATTAGGTTGACCCGAAAAATTCTATAATAAAACTTTTTATTTTTTTATAAGCTCAACCCCTCCCTCGAGAAATTGCTAGATCCGCGCCAGGTCTAGATTAGCTCAGGTTTACTGAAGAAGCAGGGATGTACAGAGTTTGGATTTTTGCAGCGTTGTTTCAGCTCTGAACTAGCATTGAATGAGTGAAGAGTCAGGGATGTTCATGGTTATTGCAGTGGTTTTTCAGCCCTGATTTAGCGCTTAAATAGCACGAATCCAGTCCTGAAACTCCAGTTTTGAACAAAGCTGAATCTCTCCTGGTCATGGATAAGTGGCCGTTGACCAGGGACAAAATCAGCAATGTTGATTTCTGAAAAATCGCTGACTCAGTTATAGTTATATATGACAGGTCAACTCTTTAGCAACAAAACCAGACGATGATGGAGACCAAACAATCAAACCCGATTGAAATGGAGTTGCTATGACCACTAAGTAGTTTTATGTTATGTGCTCAACCGACCTCTGAACTCTGGGTTGCCCAATGTCTGCGGCTTCTGCTGCAGTGGACTGTGTGAGTAAGATTGGGAGGCTAGCTGGGGCAGATTCATACTGTCAAAATACTCCTTCACCGCATCCTTCACCAAGTCCTTTATATCTGCAGTTTGCCCATCTCCCAAACCATTAGAGACAACACCATTCAGTCCATTAGTTATCGGACCACCCTGAAAACAAATACTATTCAATGATCTTCAAGAATCTGCGGCAAATATTCGAACTACTTTTTGAAATCAAACTTTCAAACTTAAAAGTGTTTTTTTTTGAACAAACACAATTAGCATATATTACGAGCATAGCCTTGTCGTCAAACAACTTGATCATTCTTTATAAGAGACTATTCTTGATAAACTTGCGAGGCTGTCATCGCCATTAAAAGGGTATTGTTATCACGGGAGAAGTTTGCATTCATAACTATAGACAGAACATTTTCAAGAAACAAACCGGGTACAAGTCGGTTTGAAGAAAAGATTGGAATGTAGGAGTTACCGTTTGATGAATTTGTATGCAGTGAAAACGGGTATGATGAAAAGAAAAAGAGGTTTCTCTAAAAGGTTTGAATAATATTTACAAAAAGCTAGTTTTATATTTCAATTATAAATTTAGCTTTTGTAAATATTATACAAACCTTTGAGAGAGAACACTTTTTCTTTTCATCGTACCCGTTTTGGACCTATTTTGAACGACACCATTTTGACCTATTTTGACCTATTGCAAGTTGGACCTATTTTGAAATAATCAAAACCTTTGCAGAGGTGCGTCGAAACAGCAAAATTTTTTGGTTTTTTTATGGCAGAGAGTTTGATCCCAGCTACTGCAACTGGTACCGCCGTGCAAATGGTGAAAGTTAAATGTTAAAAATGAATTATGAAAAAATTATCATGAAGGTTGTTTCAGTACTTAATTAATTAACTAGCTGAATTTTTGTCACCATGGAAAAGAGAAATTGAATGGATTTTATCAGCAGAAAACAGAAAAGTTGAGAAGAACTCAAGTTGTTCAAGAAAAGAGGCGCATTGAAGAGAATAGTCCAAGCGGACAATTGCTTTGTACAGAAATATAAAATGGAATTGTTATTCGGTTGAAGGAAATTAACCTCTAGCTGGATGAGAAAAGGGGTTAATTTCTTTTCAGTTGATAAATCGGTTTTTTCTGGAATTTTAAAAATATTTTTTACAATACAAAGAATAGATCAAATTATAGTCACATGACGCTCTCCTTGGCACTGGAAAGTTCTCCAAAAAATAACAATGCGTTTTTTCATAACGAGAACACATTCCAACAAATAATTCAGTTCTACCTTTCGCAGAAGTTCAGTGACATGCTTGGTCCAATTTGTCTTCAATTTGACGGTATAATTTTGCATCGTGAGCAAATATAAATATTTTTGACGCTATTTTATCCGGCATTGCGTTGATGTATATTAAAAACAGTACTGGGCCGAGTACTGAACCCTGGGGTATCCCACTTTTTACTGGCTGCCACGCGGATCTTGAATAGTTAATTACCAATCTCTGTTGTCGTCCCAAAAGAAAGTTTGTTATCCAGTTCAAGGTGCTTCCAAGTACTCCATACTGTCTAAGAACTCCGATCAACCTTTTGTGTGGTACCGAATCGAAAGCTTTGTTGAAGTCCAGGTGTACCACGTCGACATTTTCATGTTCGTCCATTGCCCTGACGAAGTCATCATTTCTTTTCAGGAGCTGTAAGATTGAAATGATCTTTTTCATTGAAATGATCCATTAAATGCTTTCGCACAAACTTTTCGAACAACTTGCAACATATTGATGTTGAACTGATTGTTCTATAGTTATATGCCATCGATTTTTTACCTTTTTTGAATATTGCAGAAACGTTAGCCATTTTCCAGTCTTCGGGTAATTTGCTTGTCTCCCAAGAGGTTTGGAAAATAATCAAAAGTGGTTTTAAGATGAATTCTCGTAATTCAAAGAGGTCCCTAGGATGAATTCCATCTAGTTCAGGCGACTTTGAAGTGTCAAAGCGATTGAGTTCTTCTCGGATCTGTCATTCAAAGCGATTGAGTTCTTCTCGGATCTGTCATTCTCGGATCTGTCATTCATTGTTAGCTCCAGGTTGTCATCAATGCTGGCGGTTGCTGGAGGGCTGATGTCCCAGTAACTCGGGGTTTCGTCAGTGAAAACCGATGCAAAGAAGTTCGAGAGCACTTCTGCCTTTTCTTCGTCTGTATCAGATAGCATACCATTTGGTTTTATTAAAGCGGGGATTGATTCTCTTATGGTAGTTTTTTGGCGCACGTAACTCCAGAACTTTTTCGGATTAGTTTCAACTTCTGATGATATTTCTTTTTCACGTGTGAGTGCCTCCGGTCGTGTGGCCGATCTAACTTCATTTCGTTTGGTTTTATATTTGGTCAAATTTTCGGCTGTTTCATAGTTTTTGAATGTTTTCCAGACTTTTTTTTCTTTTATCTTCATGCGCACCGCCCTTGCTAGTGGCATTTTGTTGCCACTGCTGTGTATCTTAATTAAAGGCACGAATTTTTCGACTAATTCTCTCATGCAGTTTTTCAGTTTTTCCCATGTATTTAACTGAACCGTTGGGTCAGCTAGATGGTTTCTCATCCAATGCTAGTCTCCTTTTTCATAGTTTCAGCGGTTTTTACATTTCGATTTAACCTTTTTTAATGGCACATCTATCTTGAAAAGGACGTGGTCACTTTTTCCGATTGGTGCCTCTAACGTGGTGTCTAGATCTTTTAAGACTATATCTGATATCACAAAATCAAGCAGTGATGCCTTGTCTCTGCCAAAAAACCTCATAGGCTCTTTGATATGTTTTGTTAGTAGTGCGTCCTTTACTGCCTCTATAAAGGTGAACGCAGTGCTATTTTCATATTTTAATGTACTCATGGCCTCCCAATCTATCTCTGGTAGATTTGTGTCCCCCACTATTAGCGTTGAGTCATTTGATTGTGTCTCGTTCAAATTGGCGATCAAATTTTTTAGTTGGAGGTTTTTTTCTTTAGTTGAGTTTGGACTTCTATACAATTCACCAAGGTTGATGATGTTCCCGCCAATTTTAATTTTTAAAAACAAGTTTTCATAGAAAGAAGAATTATTTGTGTTCAAGGAGTAGTCAATGTTTTCATAATATAAACTAAAATTCCGCGTCCTTGATCAGATGGGTTCATATTTATTGATTTTATATTATAGTATTGGATTTTATGCCATACTGGATTCCATTCTGCGCGAGAATTTTTCGGTTTGCATTCCACTATAGCGATGACATCAGGCTTGAATTTTTCTTGATTCATTCTCCACGTGATTTCGTGCAGTTTGTCTTGAGTTAATATGTCTATGTTTGGGTACCAGATTAATAAAGACCAGTTTGAGGTTTTTCCTCATTCTCATTATTTGCAACCCCCTCACAAGGTGCACGTAGTCTCCTTGTTCCTTTTCGTTGAAGTTTTTTTGCCTTTGCTATCAATCTTCTGACTTCTTCTCGTTCCTTGAGACTCCTGTCTGGGCCAATCCGCAGGTTTTTGATTTTATATTCGGCATCTTTTATTTATTCAAGTTTTTCATTATCTCGTTTACATCTTTTTCGTTATCAAAGAGGATACTAGCAGTGGTCTGTTTGTCGTGGCTTCATCGTTTTTCTTCCCAAGTCGGACAAAATTTGTGGCTGTTTTGTTTCCCTTTTCGAACGATGCTAGAAATGTTTCTATCAGTTGTTTGTCTTCTATCTTTCTGTTATGTCCGTCTTGGTGGGTTTTCTCAGGTGCTTTGTAAATTATCAAGTTCTTATTTCTTCTTTTGTCGTATTCTCTCTTTTTTGCTCTTCAGATGCTTCCATTATAATTTCTTTTAGTGGCTTGACTTTCGGTTGTTAGTCCATGTCCCATGGTTTCTGTTCAGTTTGATTCACGGCTCTTGGTCCTGCTACAAACTTGTAGAAGTCGTTCATCATGTGGGTTAGGTTCGCCATTGTTTTGTCCAGATCGCTCCGTAGTGTAACCGGTTCTGGATTCTTGTCAGCTTCAATTAGAACTTTCACCTTCGGTGTGCAGGAACTGCAACACCAGATGACTTCTGGTTGACATATGTTATCGTAGACTTGGTCAGGGATATTTGTACAAATGTGTTCATGACATTTATCACACTCCATTACCTCATCATCGATGTTACCATAGGTCTTTTTGCACGTTTTACATTGTCAAGCGTCCATTTCACTCACAGATTCAGTCCCTTTGCGTCTAGTTTTTTTGTTTTGGAGTCACATTAAGTTTGATTTTATCAGGCCGCTCTAAGACACTTAAGTCTCAAGAAGTTACCTAATGAAATCAACTTCACGAAAAATACTGGGCCGTTCTAAGACACTGAAGTCTCAACAAGCTACCCCTAGTTTTTCATTCAAAAACACTAAGCTCTAGTCTGATTATTACTGGGCCGCTCTAAGACAATTAATTCCTAAGAAGCTACCCTTGTAATTTCAGAAAAAGCTTCTTACTTTTTTGTTTTTTGCTGTTCTTTTTCAACCTTCACTTCGACGTTGACTGTTTCTTTGACTACTTCGTAGCGGACTTTGACCGTTTTTTCAAGACTATTTTTTCAAATTATTTTTACTTCGGTAGACGGATCTGATTAGTCTCTCAAGACGGGTGAATTTGCCTCGAATCTCGCAAGATTCTTTTGTTCTTTCTCTTTCTTGTGGATTAGTAACTTTCTTACTGGGATAATGAGGATGTCCAATGTTCTCAATCTTTTGAGTATGTCTGTGGTGTTGGTTCGTTTTGTGTATACTTTTGCTTCGATCCGGTGACGCAGTCCGTGGAGATTCGAAAGCAGTAGTTCTACTGAACAAGGTTTCCAGCTGTTGCTGTGGTGGGGGGCCACAGTATTGTTGATCAAGTCGTGCCACAGAATAAGTTTGTTTTCATTCTTCTGGATTGAGTGGTAGTTCTTTTTTGTGGCAGGGTTGATGCTCAATCCTCCTACTAATGTCTGGATGGGGAATATTTTCTATTGGAAATTTCTAGGGGATGCGTCGATGGCCGCACGAAAAGAGCTTGCGTCAACAAAGTGGACCATAAATCTTCACCTGCAACACCTAGAGCAGCAGGACTTCGCTATTTTTCCGTTCAATAATGCGATTTTTGATTTAAGTCTAGGGCATATAATACACAGTTTGTATACGGAGAAAGGAAATCTATTTAATAAGTTTATCACAACAATTAGGCTAATCATTTTCTCAACGTTCACCGTTTTTCTCAACGAATTCTGCTGTTCTGTTTCTTTTTGCAGTTTTCAGTTGTCGCGAAATTTCGACGTTGTCACGTGTCTTTCTTTTTGAACGAGTTTTAAAAAAATAACATGTCAGTCCAAATTAACCATTCCGCTTTGTCAAAATGAACGATTAACACCACTAATGTGTTAAAATCGTCAATCTTCTCATTCAGATGCTATAATAAAAATTCGATTTCAAACTTGCATTTTGACACATTCTGGTCGAATGTCACATAGCAGTATCAATGAGTCTCAATGTTTTAACACTATTGTTATCTTGAACTCAATTTTTCATTCCATTTTCGTGCTATTTTTTTTAAGTTAGTTCTTTCTACATGTTGCATCGTTTACGATTGTGTTTTGGTTTTTCAGGTTTTACTGATGATGTCGAATTGACGAAACCGTTTTAACATTGATCTTGTTTTTATCAGCCTCTAATAACGCCAGTAGCCAGCAATGAAAGGTTGATGGACGAGGCCTTGATGACGATTGTCAGCAAAATAGAGAAATGTGAAAAAAACCCTCCAGAAAGAATTGCGAAACTAGTAAGACGGAATTAGTCCTACTCCAACAGTCACTACTCCAGCCTTAGACGGAATTAGTCCTACTCCAGTAGTCACTACTCTAGAACGGAATTACTCACTACTCCAGTAGGAAACCAGTCAGACAGATTAAAACTCCGTTTACGCGGGTCAATAGCTCGAATTATACAGCTAGCTAAATCTCGCAAAAAAGACAATTTGGCGATTTTTAAATCTTCGAAACTCTACAAAAAACGATCAAAAGAAAAAAATAAATTTGAAACTTGAGCTCAGAACAACAATACTTTTTAACACGTTTTCAAATATACCCTGAAACGAAAGTAGCATGTAAAATTCCAAACCACTTTTCAAAACACAAAGTTCAGAAACTCTCGTCGAATAAGCCACAGATTTTGACATGAAAACAGGCAAATTAATTATTGATGCAGCACATTCATACCAAAATGAAGAAGTCAAAAAATCCAATTTCCAGTAACATTATACAAAAACACAGGAAACACTGGCGGAAAAATTTATCCAGAAAATAAAGATATTTAACGATTACAAGAACTTTAACTAATGAATAACACCTGTTTAGGTGCAACCCACAACGATATATTTCTTGATATGAATTAGATTATACATCAGGTAGAATTTTTCAAAAAAAGTCACTCTCCGAAATAGAAACACTCCATCACTTATGTGAATTTGAAAAAATACAAAATATACAATTGCTCTCTTTAGGTGTACTTAAAATATCATACGCAGGATACCTATAATCAGGCAACCGCTCTAACTTTATTGACTATGAAGGAAACATTCTTTAGTATTACACACCACTTTAAATTTCACCACTTTAAGTTTTTGAATACAAAAGATGTTACCAACGAATCCCTATATTATACGAAAATAAAGAACATTTTGTAGATACACTATCACGACGCACCTTTTTTGGTGATTCAGCTGTCCAGTGTGGATCTGAAAATAGCCACAACATAGTACAGCTTCTAAATCCAAACGAAGATAAATATTAAAATTTTATCTTCTCACTCCATATCGTACACTAATGCCACCCCTAGAGAAAATTTTATCCGAGATGCGTGCAATTGCTCGTAACCCAAAGATCGACCTACAATCAAAACGTTTCAATTTAATTCCGACACACAACATCACATTCATTCGATAACAACAACTTGAAGAAATTCTCACTAAAATGGATACAACACAAAGACAATCAATTGACCAAAATTTACGAAAACTAGCTGAAACAGGAGGCTTCTCAGATATTTATGGACACGACTACAGCGGTTACCTCAGAAAAATACAGAGTATATATATTTTAACGGTGAAAAACACCGTCCACTAGATTTTTCGCCAACTATTGTTTTTTGCTGTGTCAATATCAAAAACGAAATCCTAGCTTTTCTAGGATGGACCTACTATATATATATATAAAAAATTGACTAACTTACCTGCAATGTTCAGTTTTTTTGGTATTCTATTTTCACTCATAAAAGGAAACTATAATACATGCACAATACATACACAAGTCAAAAGACAAGCAAGCGTAGCAAGCACTCTATTTGCAGGAGTTCTTAGAATATTTTCCGACACAATTTTTAAAAAATCCTCCTTGACGCACAGATTAGCGAATGTAAAAAAAAGGTGTCTACAAAACCAAACACATATGACACTCCACAAGACAATACAATTTCAACACCTACAGCACCACCATATGGACACAGCCTACATAATAATCATCCTTTATTATTAGTTCCACAAAATTATATGACACACTCGTAACTACTGAACAAACCTCTCAAGGTAGTAATTTCCCACGAGGTCCAATATTTCATATAACACTTTATCAACCAAAAATTGACGACACCTGTGAAAAATTGTTGATCAACCACATACAAAAAATGTTTGTTCTCAAAACAATCAACTTTTTAGTCCACGATGAGCCGACAGATTGAATACCCCAAACGTTCCCTTTCCTATCCATCAAACCTCCAACGCCATTCCTCTCGAACTTCACTCTCAGACCTCACCTCTTCTCCTTTACTCAGTTTTTCTTCTAACCACGCACAGACTCAGAAGATTCAATCCAAACAGTTTTTAACAGCATATCTAACTTTAATAATTCTGATGTAGAAAAGTCTGACAATTTCCTTGACTCAGAACCTAGCCTTAAAAACTTTTCCCAACCACCTTTCCAAACCTCTGTTTCCGAGCATCCCACTTCAATCTCTCCCTCCCCCTCTTCATACACTGTAGCTACCCCTAACCTTTACCCAATGTCAAGTAACCAACCCGACGCATCTAGCCCCATGAACGACAATCATCTTGAGCTTGAACTAGTAACTTTATAACTTAACAACAACACCCAAATGACACAAATAACGGATTAACAAATCACCAGCTAACCCCTTAGCCACAACATTGGATACCTCAACTGATTCTGTTAATATTGCACCGACTAGAGCACAAAGAGTTTTTAAACTAAAGCATCTTAATACCACACCTTAATTACCGTTTAGTCGTCCACGTTCATCCCGATTATATTCCCACCACCCACAATACACTAAAACCCCAGAGCTTTTACCTCACAACCTACCATTTTCCCCCGATATACATACTATACAACATACAATGCAAACCAACTGAACCCTTTCGTTGATGAAAACGTGCTAATTACCACACTCTCCTGGATCACCTATTACAGTTTTACTAACCCATTAAAATTTCCCCTGAAAAAACAACCTCGAAAATAGTGAACTCTGTTTTACCATCATTCACCAACTCACCAATCCACTTCTCGAAAATCAATTCCCTACCATCGGCTTAAATCAGACACTAATTAGATTCATAGCATCAAGCGCTAATCGGGTTTCTATAAAGTATTTCAATCATACTTTCACTAGATACATGGAAGATACAAACACAGACATCCAAACACTAATCCTCAACAAACAGAAAAACTTTTCATTAAATCGGAATATATATTCCGTCTAGATAGCACTAATGAGATGTTTGATAATTGCTCATGCAATAACAAACACCAACGCTTGTGAGCCGTTTTTTGAATAAATTCAACCAGTGCTCTCGCACCAACATTTTACTTCTTTACACCAAAAGTAAGAGATATTCACTGCTCACATGAAATAATGCTTAAAACAAAACTAACCCACACGTAGGTACTTTTTTTATAGATTCATTCAAAAACACTTTATAACCAACTCACCATACCGTAACTCACTTAATCATTTTATGTTCATAAATTAAAAGTACACATTACCATATTTCTTGAATTTCCCATATTGCATCAAACCAACTAACTTACCCGGCATCCTCCGTAATTCTGATCCCGTCCGACAGATGTATACATTTTGCCCACTGACTAACACCTTTCTAATCGACCGTACCATCAAAACACCCACGAATATATACAGCCCATTGAAATAACCCTGCTCGAACACATTCACAGTACTAAATTTAATCATAAACTTAAGAAACTAATTCAAAACACGAATCATTAGTTTTCAACAATTATCGAAGAAGTGGACATCATCAGAGCGCTTGAAGTTCTTTGGCCTCTGCTTCGCACTAAAGTCGTTATCAAGCCTATCTTCCACCATGGATTTTCCCCCAAAACCGAACCCTCGTAAGAACGAATTATACTGTTGTTACTAATAGAAATGAAACAAAAAACTCACCCTTATTACACTTGTTTTTCATTTTCCTTTTTTAAATTTCACCAATCACTTATCTAAGAGAATAAAACTAAAACAAAAAACAAACAATTTATTTAAATTTTAAACGTTTTAATCCAACAGTGAAACTGAATTATTCAAGTGAAAAAAGTTTAAAACAAATTGCAATAAAATAATAATTCTTTAGAAAAAAAAACGAAGTAGTAAACCAATATAAAGCAAATGAATACAAGAAACTCACTTTTTTTATTTGAGCTTCTTTTTTAACTGAATACTTTCATTTAGTCGCCCACATTTCACCAAACTCGCCAAACTCGATTTCAACAGTAACTGATAACAACTCTAACTTGGCTTCACACGATTCAAACTTTCCTTCAACACGGTTAGAAGGAATTATAAGTACTTTAAAGCTAACCAACGCAGCTTACTAACACCCAAAAACGAACCGAATGTATAAAACAATCCCAAGGTACGCAGATTGAAAATAGAAAACTATTCTTTTTAAACGAATTTCAAGTTTTATTGAAACCACTTAAAACACCAAAATGTAAAAATGAAAACCCAAAATAAAACAATCTGTTTTTGATAAAAGGACAAAGCCAAAAACAAAAAAGAGAAAACACCTGACAAAAAGAGCAAAAAGTTGAACATGAAAAGAGATTCTGCTCACAGGGACGGAAAATATATTCCCCCCTTCAAATGGCCTCACTACCCATTAGAATGTCCTGAGCATGCTCTATAGCCGGCCTAACCCACCGCGCTTTAGCCACGCTTACGACACGCACTCAATTTTTGACGAGAGTTGCTCTAGTTTGAGCGACTCTTTAAAATTACCGAAACTAAACAAAAACGCTGATGCGAAAACAACTAATAAATATCATAACTAAAACTAATCTCATTAACAAGATATAGGTTTAAAATGCAATGTAAGAAGAATTCTTAGAGCAACCGGATCGATCAGCAATACGAGATAAAAATTCGACAACAATCCGACTGTGAAATGGCAAATCTGTTGGTTTGTTGCCGTAGTCACAACCCTCACAGGACTCGAAGTGTGGACCCAACATCGCAGCAAAGCAACACATTAAAGAAGATCAATGGCCAACTCGATGTTGACTTCACATACCGATCCAAGTCACTTGGCAGTTCACACTGAGAAGTCAAACTTCATCTTTCACGTAGCCTCTCTCTAGCTTAACGAAATCAACACATCACTGCATCATTCTCAATTCTTGACTGCTTGACACAATCATTCAAGACGATATAGGCTAAACGAGACCCACTTCTTGAACACGAACAAGACTCCCCCTACTCTCTATGAAGACATCTACTCCAAAACACGAACAACTTTCTCTCCCTCTTCTCTCACGCAGTCACTGGTTCAAAAAGAAATTGGTCAGAGTAACAAGAAATCTCTCCATCCGTTCTTTACTGCAATAGGCTTTAAAATTTAAAACTCTCTAAGCCCTGGATGGGTGGAATCAGTTTAAAACTAGTATTTATATGCAATTATATTATTGATAAAACTATCTCTTTAAAACGTTTCTAACTTACCAATCATGATCCATAACTAACAATTACAATTATTTGTAACGCTGAAGCTATTCATAGTTTCAGCACCAGGGCAAAATAAATTTTATTAGAAAACAGTTTTCTCCCTTGAGACAGTTCCTGATATCTAACTCGCAGATACCAGTATACAATAGATCTATTGAGACTAGGAGATATAAGAGTAAGATTAGGATTGGTATTAGACTAAGAAGTTGCACGAATCTATCCGACCAAAAATAAGATAGCGTGATGAACAGATGGTATATCTTATCTGAAATTACTTTATGAGTGAGCCACTCCTGGACATAACTCAATAGGGAAAAACAAAAAAGCAATTTAACGAAGATACACTTGAAAAAAAAAAAGTTTTTTACCGTTCAAATAGACATAATAATTCAAAAACTCTTTTTCCAAAAATTTCCAAAAGTTTTTAGCGTATAGGTAAAAACGACTGTGACTCGAAAGAGATTTTATTTAACAACTGACATTTGAAATCAAATTAACTAGAAACCAATTTTATTTCATCGCTTTTTGAGTGTATCCTTTATCAACTGACTTTTGGTTTATATCATCATACTCTTTGCCATTGTAGCGTTGTTTGGAAAATTTTTCTCATCTATAATTTTCTGCCAAGCCACACGAAGTGTGGTTGAAGCATTCTAAGATACTTGCACAGCCCCAGACTCTTCTCCTTTTTATCATATCACTCACCTTGAATTTTTAAACTCGAGTTAACATATGTTCACTGAGATACGAGGAGCTAAGTCTTGCAGCTCAATATCTCACTTCTCTTTTGACCAAAAAACACCAATTCTGAAACATTTCTTTATACTAATTATTTTAACCTTTTTTGCTGAAACATTCAAGAAGATAGCTGTGGTCGCAACAACAGATTGTTCTTGATTCCTGTATGATTTTTAAAAACGATCATTTGGATCTAAATTAGCGAAGCATTTTTTAAAATTATTAATTCAATTTTTCATTGCGTGTCTTTAATTCCATAGCTTAGCTTTACTTATTATTTTTGGTCTTCTCGTTTCTATTAGATCAGCTTCTGAGAAGTCCCAGTTTGTTTTTCAGAGTAGCCGACGGGTGCAGATGGGCAGCTGGGATCTTCTTGACCTCTAGGCGTTCGCTGGTCCACTCTGGATTTATGGTGAAGTGTCTGGAGGGGTTGAAGGGCGGGTTGGAGAACATGCTCAGATCACACTGGTATTGGTAGGGTTCCACGGGTGTGGCACTAGCAGCACGTCGCGAAGGTCTACGATGAATATAAATAGTACATTTCAGGGCTTTGCAACTATAGCTCCCACTCCCCGCCTTGTCACAAAAAATAGATCGCCCCACTACAGTAGGAATCTTTATGATAGGGCTATAATTTGCTGGTGGCTATAATTAGATAAAAGCTATTTAATTCTTGCTTTAATCATCATTAATAGCCAAAAAATGTTTTTGCGAACGGTTAAATTTAAAAATTACAGTTGTTAGGTTATTTTTGGAAAATTCAAAACCTGATAGGTTGAATAATTATGATTACCTGTTTGCAAATTCCGCAGGAGTTTGGCCTCCATTCAGTCTTTTCAGTAGGTTCTTCACTATCTCCCGCTCTAAATGAAAACTCAGATCAGAGACATTTATTATTGCTGTATATTTGAGATTGCTATGCTGAGATTGCTATGCTCTTACCGTGACTGGGAGCAGCCATGGCCCAGCTGTTCAGACTATTCTGGAAGTCGCCATCATTGTTCCACAGCTGGTTCTGGGATCTCTGAAAAGACAGCCAGCTGAACAAGCACAATTTGTTCAACTTGAATTCATTTACCATAGCTACAGACTAAGTTACAAACTCTATAGTGTCTGGAGTGGTTACTGAAGAGCATTTCAGCTCAACGAACACCGAGCTGAGCATCCATTTTGTTTATCTTGAAAATTTTAAAGTGCTTAGAAAAAGCAAATTGTAGGAATGAATGGTTCTTTGCCTGACGGAAGTTATGCGATAACTTTTCGGAAATTATTCATAAGCTTCAGTTCAAACCAAAATTTTATTGTTCCGACTTTCGATACGAAAGTAACGGAATATTTGTGCTCGGGGTGGGTTTTTTTTTTCTTCAGACAAATTTCGACTTTTTAACTAGCCATTTTTGACGGATTTTTTTATATCATTCAAAAGGTATTGTTGTCCTGAGCTTAAATTTGAAAAGATATTTCACCTGTGATCATTTTTCGTAAAGTTATTATGGTTTAATGATTGCCTTTTTGGCCATTTTGACCAATTTGGGACAATTAACGCGCGATATAATTCGCGCTATTAACGCGTAAGCGGAGGTTTAATCCGTCTTATAAATCGTTCCAAATTGGTTTAACGAAGCTTATTTGTCATAATTGATATGTTACAAGGAACGAAATCTATCTTTTCGTACTTTATTTGGCGTGTGGGGGGATGATTTTCATAAAAAATTTAGAATAAAAAATTTTCATTTATTTTTATTTCATTTAATTTTTTAAATGTTATTACTGCTGCTCCATAAACCTTAAAAGGCAGTCGGAACATTCAGGGCTTCGCCCTGATACGAGCAGTCTTGTTAATATTTTATTGACAATACCGTTGTTTAGGTATCGCTCTGTGAACAAACGTTTTAAATAATGGCTATAAGAGAAAAAATGACTTGTTTTCGTGAATAATTGGCATAATTTAACGACATCAAGCACCAACCTGGAATGAGTTGGGAGGCGCTGACTGTCTCAAAGCCATCATTCTGCTTCCTGGTCTGGATGCACTTGTATTCATCAGCCCAAGTTCTGCAAAGGGGTCTTTCTTCACCACCGCCCACACCTCCTCGCCAGACTCATTGTAGCCTATGCAATTGCAGAGGTTATCGTATAATACACATTAGATCCTTTCAACATTTCCCGCTGTTACAATGCAATTTTATTATTTAACTAGTGGTCTTACAGATATACATTTCCTGGTACATCAGCCCGTATAAGCTCCAACCCCACTCTCAGAGAAAACTCAGAGATAGACACGACATTTGGAACCCCTCTTCGAAAATGAATAAAATTTTTCAGATGAAGACGAGCATTCAAGTTTTTTTATTTCCTAGTATAATGCGTTTTTAATTGTTTATTCTTGAATATAGTGAGCAGATTTTTGACCAAAAAGACCAAATGACTTCAAAAATTTATAGTTAGCCGTGTAGACGTTCAAACAAGAAAAGTCAATGATACAAATTCATAGATGAATTCTATGAAAAAAAAGCTTGAATTGGTTTACAATGCAAAAATTATCTTGAATTGGTTTAAAATTGAAATATACCTAATGCTATATTGTTGGCAAAGCAAAATATTTTCATCTTGTTACTGATTTCCACTAATTAATTATCCGAAAAACTAATTAACTTAAACTTCAACAGTTTTTGACCGATTAAACTGCTCAAGGTCAACAAGATTGCCAATTATTTGGCAATAACTATAAAACATGTTTGATGCCGTCGTAGTTAGATGTCAACAACGTGGCAGTTTTCGCTTTTTTTATTGCAAATTCGCTTCTGAGCTCAAATAAATATTTTGCCTGAAAATTTGTTGTTTTGTAACTATAACGTAGTTGAAGCTAAATTTTTCACTGAATAAATCCAAAAACTAAAAGCAAAAATTGTGAGACAAATAATTTTTTTTGGTTTTTATATGCTAAGATAAACCTATTACTCTAAACAAAAATAGGCCATGTTTTAACTTTTGAAGTAGAAGTTTTCTAGAGCCATAAACAAAAAGTTAGAATTTTGTATATGATTTTGAATCAAACCCAAACCTTTACTTACATAGCCAGGATTACCAAATGCAATTTAGCTGCGTGGTAACTGCCGCTTACACACGGGGTTTTCTTATGTTAGAAGTTCCTTGATCATTGTGTTTGTGGAGGGAAATCAGAAAGCATGTAACTTTCATGTAAAGCCATGGCAAAAACTTATTTATTCCAGATCAGCAAAAAAGGCTTATATTTAATCATTGTGTCGTAAAAAATCTCATTTTACTATTTTCATACAATATTTTTTCTAAATTGTGTGAAAATGTTCGACTAACATTTTTTTAGTTGTATGAAAATGTAGAACAAAAAATTTTTGTCGACCCGGGAAATTATTTATTTTCCTGAGTTTGAGGATATTCTTAGGAGTTTGATGAAAAAAAAGTTTGCAGGAAAATTGGGCTCTCAGCTAAGTTTTTGGAATTTTCAAAACTCAAAACAAAAAGAATTGATAGGGGAAACGCTTTGAATTGTTTGACTGGATTCAATGCCTCTTGAACAGTTTTAAACAACTACAGTCTTTTAAAATATTTGCAAGAAAAAGGAACAAAATATTGAAAGTTTTTCCAATTAATTTTTTTTTTGGAAAAACTTACTTTCAGTTCTGCTCTATCATACAAAAAAAGATCAAAACTCACTCATTTATATGAGTTTCTGTGTAGACCCACATTCAATTAGCTGAAAAATCAAAATGCGAAAACATTGATTCATGCGCACAATACCGAATGTGAGAGAAGCTGGGTCGCTTCAAGCTTAGGCCACTATGCTTGCCTACTAACGCTGCCTGAATTTGATTTTTTGGTTGCGTTTTATCCTAGGAAAATTATAATAATATTTTATCGGCAAATGCAACTGGCCAAACAACGGATTTTATAATTTATGTCGATTATCGTGGTTCAGTACAGAAGTGCCAAAATAAAAAATATATCCAAGTATGCCGAGAATTTTTTTTACTATACAAGGTTGTACGAGGATAAGAAAAAACATAAAACAGTAAAAAGTGAGTCACTAGCGAAAGAAGTTATTTCTTTCTGGAATCAATACAAACAAACACTCTATTCACTTAAATTGTAGTCCAGAGTTTTCGCAAGAAAATGTGTCCCTCTTTTAGTTTGAATTCCGCAGAAATCTATGAAATATCAGTTTTGGAGGAATATCCCGGGTTGACCAAAAATGCTTCTCATACAATTTTTATATATGAAAAATGCGTATCATACAATTTCGTAAAACTCCCATGATACAGAAAAAGTTAAGAAAACTCGAAGATAATTTTTGGGGAAATTTCAATATAAATTGGAAAAATTATTGATGTCGCCATCAAAAAAAGTCAAGTCGTACAATTTTTATATATGGAAATTGTATTATAACCATTTTTTTTCCAAAAAAAAAAGATAAATTGTTTTTTTTTCATCACCAGACTGCTTTATTTGGTTCAAATTGCCGCAAAAACTAGTTCGAATCTTTTTTCAATGATTTTTTGAAATTGTATGAAAGTTGTATGACTAGCATTTTTCCATGCATTTGATGACGGATTTGTATGATTAGCAGTTTCGATGTATGGAACTGTAAGATAAGTATTTTTGGTTTATGGAGTTCAACCCGGGATGTTGATTCCCAAAATTATTAGAACAGACTTTCAAATTAGATTGCTGTATTGTAAGGTGAAGAGCTTTTGAAAAAGGTTTGATTATGATTTCGATGCAGTTTTAATATATCCAGTTCTTATAAAGCGTAATTGGCAAATTAGTTGGACTAAAAATCAGCCCAAAATCAATTGAATCAAAGCAAGCTAATTGATCCATTCAGTACATTGCCAAAAATCAAATACGAGCAGTATATAAAACGGCCTACTTATTCTTTCCACTTTTATTTGACTGTTTTAATCTAACAATGATCAAGTAAGTGGATCCAAAAAAAACAACTTTCAAAGCCTAGAATCATGCATTAGAAAAAGTTCAAAAAACTATCTATTAAATTTTGCACAACAATATAAAAATACATTCGCGCTTTGCGTCATCTTTTCAACTGTTCAGTCTATAGACTCTAACTATCTCATGGGTTCTGACCTTTCAAAGGCTCGTCTATTCGGTATTATATACCGACATGCAATTTTGGCCTGACGACTCGGGTCGCTGATCCCAGCATATAATAACTTTGAGAGGGAAGAGCGCGCCAAAAAGTTACAATTGTTTAGTCAAAATTTTTCAAAAAAATAGGTTCTAGATAGAGGAGAGTACGGAAAATCAATTAGGTTGACCCGAAAAATTCTATAATAAAACTTTTTATTTTTCTATAAGCTCAACCCCTCCCTCGAGAAATTGCTAGATCCGCGCCAGGTCTAGATTAGCTCAGGTTTACTGAAGAAGCAGGGATGTACAGAGTTTGGATTTTTGCAGCGTTGTTTCAGCTCTGAACTAGCATTGAATGAGTGAAGAGTCAGGGATGTTCATGGTTATTGCAGTGGTTTTTCAGCCCTGATTTAGCGCTTAAATAGCACGAATCCAGCCCTGAAACTCCAGCTTTGAACAAAGCTGAATCTCTCCTGGTCATGGATAAGTGGCCGTTGACCAGGGACAAAATCAGCAATGTTGATTTCTGAAAAATTGCTGACTCATTTATAGTTATCTATGACAGGTCAACTCTTTAGCATTAAAACCAGACTTACGATGATGGAGACCAAAATATCAAACCCGATTGAAATGGAGTTGCAATAACCACTAAGTATTTTCATGTGCTCAACCGACCTCTGAACTCTGGGTTGCCCAACGTCTGCGGCTTCTGTTGCAGTGGACTGCGTGAGTAAGATTGGGAGGCTAGCTGGGGCAGATTCATACTGTCAAAATACTCCTTCACAGCATCTTTCACCAAGTCCTTTATATCTGCAGTTTGTCCATCTCCCAAACCATTAGAGACAACACCATTCAGTCCATTAGTTATCGGACCACCCTGAAAACAAATACTATTCAATGATCTTCAAGAATCTGCGGCAAATATTTGAACTACTTTTTGAAATCAAACTTTCAAACTTTAAAGTGTTTTTTTTTTGAACAAACACAATTAGCATATATTACGAGCATAGCCTTGTCGTCAAACAACGCGATCATTCTTTATAAGAGACCATTCTTGCTGAACTTGCGAGGCTGTCATTGCCATTAAAAGGATATTGTAATCACGGGAGAAGTTTGCATTCATAACTAGACAGAACATTTTCAAGAAACAAACCGGGTACAAGTCGGTGTGAAGAAAAGTTTGGAATGTAGGAGTTAGCGTTTGATGAATTTGTATGCAGTGAAAACGGGTATGATGAAAAGAAAAAGAGTTTTCTCTTAAAGGTTTGAATAATATTTACAAAAAACTAATTTTATATTTCAATTATAAATTTAGCTTTTTGTAAATATTATACAAACCTTTAAGAGAGAACACTTTTTCTTTTCATCGTACCCATTTTGGACCTATTTTGAACGACACCATTTTGACCTATTTTGACCTATTGCAAGTTGGACCTATTTTGAAATAATCAAAAACTTTGCAGAGGTGCGTCGAAACAGCAAAATTTTTTGGTTTTTTTATGGCAGAGAGTTTGATCCCAGCTACTGCAACTGGTATCGCCGTGCAAGTGGTGAAAGTTAAATAATGAAAAAATGATTTATGAAAAAATGGTCATGAAGGTTGGTTCAGTACTTGATTAATTAACTTAGCTGCATTTTGTCACCATGGAAAAGAGAAATTGTATAGAAATTATCAGCAGAAAACAGAAAAGTTGAGAAGAACTCAAGTTGTTCAAGAAGAGAGATGCATTGACGAAAATAGTCCAAGCGGACAATTGCTCTGTACAAAAATAAAAAATGGAATTGTTATTCGATTGAAGGAAATTAACCTCTAGCTGGATGAGAAAAGTGGTTATTTTCCTTTTGAGAAAAGTGGTTATTTTCCTTTTCAGTTGATAAATCGATTTTTTCTGGAGTTTTAAAAGTATTTTTCTACAATACAAAGAATAGATCAAATCATAGTCACATGACGCTCTCCTTGGCACTGGAAAGTTCTCCAAAAATTAACAATGCGTTTTTTCATAACGGGAACACATTCCAACAAATAATTCAGTTCTACCTTTCCCAGAAGTTCAGTTACATGCTTGGTTACATTTTCAGTCACTCTTGCTTGTTCAGCTCGTCTTCCTTGCATCACTTCGTTTTTATTGCTTCCGCTATAAGTCACTTTTTTGTTCAACAGTTCATTGAAAGGTCTTGCGGACATCGTAATGTTTTCACGTCTTCCCAAATCAACCATTTTTGAAGCAACTTTCGACTGGGAGGTCAGATCCAAAGATTTATTTAGACTGTCTTTTCTACCAGTTGATAATGTTGGATTAGTCGTAACTCGTCGGAAACTTTGCTCCGGCTCTCCGATGAAGCTGGCGATTCCTCCTGTGAATGTCAGCTGGTTTTTCACGTGACTAGGTGCTCCGGTGCTTCGCATGTTATAGTCGTACGTGCAGGGGTTGCTCAAGGAACGAGACACACACTTTTTGGTGTAGTCTTTTCGGTTCACCTTTTCGTCAGGTAGTTTTATGGTTTTCCGTGGTTTTGCTCCAACCACCCCACCAAAGGGGTAGAAATGAGTTATGGCTGAGCTTTTTTTGCCGATCGGTTTTCCTACCTCAAGAAAACTCTTAGTGGTTCAAGTATGGCATCAATTTAAAGCCATTTTGGTCGTGATTCGGATTTCGAAAAAAAAAGATTGTATGAATCGAGTATGTATATTCTGAACTTTTTCGTGTTTCAGAATAAATTACGTGTAGAAAAATTTACAATCCAAGTGCAAATTTTAGATTGACTTTGTAATAATTCACTCATTTAAAGCTTTCGATATTTGTGAATAAATTATTTTTATTATTTTTTGTTTTTGTTTTTGTTGCTATTTGAGCTTCTGTGGTCTCAACATTTTGTGCTACTAGCACAACGACCTGTTGTATTTTTCATAGTTGTCAAATCAGCTTGACCAAAAAATTTCGCTATTCAAAAAATTCGTCACCATTTTTTTTATCAAATCTAAAGCAAAATTAGTTCTCGTTATATTTCAAATCACAGTTAAAATATCAGCGAAATGAGTTTTTTTTTAATTTTCATATTTGCCAAAAACTACCGTGTCCCGTGCAATTTGAGATTGGTGACTATCCATCAATTCGAATTTGTCGAAAATTGGCAACGAGGAGTTATCTTTCGGGTTTGTCATCTTTGTCGATAATTTTTACAGTAATCAGTCAAAATATTTTTCAATAAAACGTTTGCTGAAAAGGTGCTGCACGCGGAGAAAAACGATTGGACGAACGAAATTGATTGTTTTCCAAATTATGTTTTGACGAAAATTAAATGAAAACAATCTCAGGGATATTTGTTTTGACGTGCAGGTGGAAATTATATGGAAGTTTTTCCTGGCTATATGCAGTTCGTCTTAACACCTGGCTGAAGGTCATGAATTAGTAAAAAGGCTTGCAAATAATATTCTGTATTTATTGTGGATACCTATATTTCACAAAACACATGAACTGTATCCACAGAAAAAACATTGAACTTTCATCTAAGTTTATTGTGGCCAATTTTTCTGGATATATTTTTAGTTTCAAATGATTTCTGATAAATTAATTAACAGCAATTGTAGAAACCAAACCAAAAGGTAAGTTGAGGAACATCTAAAAGGAACTTTGTATGATTTCATAGCTGAATTCAATAAGGTCTCCTAAGTAAGGCACCAAAATAGTCTGTCATCAGGTCAAACTTTTTGGCTCTTTCTTTTTTAGCTTTAATTTTGATCAATCAACCTCCACAAATATCAAATCGCCATGCGTTAAGTTAGCTCATTATTTTTTGTGCATCAGATATTTTTTTACCTGAGAAAAATATCATTCTTCCATCCAGAAACATACGAGTTTCATCGTCGTATCAAAAATGGTGCATACTTGAAAGGAAAATGTGCCATTTTACGCTCGGTTATTAGACAATTTAAGATGACAATTAAGACGATTTATCTACTAACGAAAAGACCAACATAGGAGCTGGAGAACCGTAGTGGTGACCCTGGTTAAGAATTACATTCAATTTTGTTGTCTATTTTTCTCGGCTGGGTAAGGTTGCATCACCCACAAGTACGGCTCAGGGCGGTCCTCGAACATCCGACCTTTTGATTGAGAGGCGGAGACGTAACCACTTAACAACCGCTCATTTTAATTAATAGCGACAACATTAGTTGATGAACCAATTTGGGACTGGCTAAAGTTTCCAACTCCCAAAATCGAAAAATCGATGGTTCGAGGCCCAGGAAAGGTGATAGTTGCTTGAGCGTGGTGCAACATTTCTCAGCCCGCAAAAACATCCTAAAATAGCAAGTATATCAAAGCGAAGGGGTGCATTAGTGCAGGTTCACCATAACGATCTGAACAGCTTGTATGTTGATCAATTCCCTTGCGGCTAAATGGTAATAAAATGACCACATCGATTTTCACATGAGTTCTTTAAATGAATCTGATGAAGTGTTTGCTTAAACTTACAAAATTTTCATCCATGTGAGACATCCTTGAAGCAGGGCGACTCCTTGGAACTGCAGGTGTATGCTGGAACCTAGGAGTTGGAGTCCTCTTAGGAACTGAGAGACGCCCTGAGTTCTGTGCCACAAAATTTGGTGTCTGTTTTTTCCTCGAGTTCAAAATAGTGGGGATCAAACTCACGTCGCTTCTTGAACTGGCCACCGAGTTGGGCATGTTATAACAGTTATAAGTTACTACACGAGAACTCAACTTAAGTTGTGTGTTATAAATAAAATTATTGTCTGTAATTTTGGTCGCAAGTGGTGGTATAATTTTGTATCTAGACTTTGTTGCCGAGCAAGGCGCCTGAATAGCCGTACCTTTTTTTGGCGGTTCACAATTATAATTTATGATGTTCTCTTTTGAACGCCAGTTTACAATCAACATCTGACGTAATTTTGAAGACGAACAATCTGTTCAAACAGCTTCAAGCTTTTTTGCTTTGTGTAAAAATATATGCCGCGGACAATTAAACAATTATAAAATCGTAAATTTGCGCCTCAATTGTTAAAGAAG